TGCACTTAGATAAAAAATACTCCAATTAAAGATAGAATATTAAAATATTTTAAATTTTATAATTAAAATTCATATTCTATTATGTCATTTATTGAAATAAAATCAAAAATAAAAATTTAATTTTTTTTTAAAAAAAATCATAATTAATACTGTTGATGCTCAAATTTGGATAGCCACCATGTCAGTTTGTTGAACTTTGATCACTTGGAAAAGAAATCGGAGATCGGAGGGGAATTTCGAGAGTCAACACTCTAATGCTTACGTGAGTAAGTGACTCAAAGGTATGAATTGTGTTTAGAAAATAGGAGTGACATTCCTAGAGCATCTTAGACTAATGAAATTTTCACCTTGAGTCAATTTTTCTATCATCAAGTACGAACATATGAAATAAGGCTAATCAACATATTTGCATGTTCGATTATATTATCTATTGACATAAAATCCTAATTTTTTTTTAAAAAAAAATAGTAAGCAGTATAAACATATCAACAAATTCAATTTGACACTCATTTATATATAATTGTATTATTTATTGGAATAAAATTAAAAAACTAAATAAAGTGTCAAATTGTAATGAAGACACTATCTTTTATCTTTAATTAGAATAATTTGATCGNCGAGAGTAGGGTGGGCAACTTTGGTTGGTGTTTACACCCGCGACAACGCCTCTGGTGGTGCCCCTTCTGGAGACTGCATGTTCTAAATGACCTCCCTCTTCCACCTGTCTTTTCTATGTAGCCGCAAAACTATAACAAGTTTCCTCTAATGCTATACCAAACCAAGACCATGCCTACAAGGAAACCAAAAACCTACAGATATTACTCTTGTATGATGGGAGAGATTGAATCCATTTTTTTCAGAGAAATTCACTGATTTTTTTTTTTAAAAAAAAGTAAGAAATCAAATTTAAATACAAGAAATAAGCTGATACTCTGCAGGTTGACTCTACGTCTTTTCATATTAGGCCTTTTGGAAAAAGGAAGGGGTTTGTGAATTAAATCACCTCCTTTACAGGGAGGTGTAACTCATCATCAAATTATAGAATAAGAATATGTCTGGCACAAATTTTTGTAAGTAACTACTTGTTAGCTATGGTTGATTAATTCTTTATACGCTAAATTTGTGTATCAAACTTATGCTAAATCATCACTGATCCAACAGCTGCAAGTGATTTGATGAACATAGCATTATTCGGTTCGGATACTATTGACGTGTGAAGCAACAATGAAATTCCAAAAACTCCCCTTATAATACTAAAATTTATTGAAAAGAAAAGAATCATCATTGCCATTGGAAGACAAATTGGACTCACAGAAATCTCAGTAATAGTTCAGATGGTAGCATGGTTGTTTTCTTATTGATATGCCTCTTCCTCTTCATCCATAAGATTTAGTACATTTGGCACTTTTATGTAAAGATTGACACTAATATTATATTCTAAATCTCAAATAACTGGAGATGCATGTTATCAAACAATTGATGAAACTTCAGAACAACTTGGGTAAATTCCAAAAATTCTTGCCAACTCCAAACCTTATACTTATTATAAAGTATAAAATACACTTAGTCTCCTAAGATTTCGAACAAGAAGCTATTATTAAGTAAGGAGTGACAATACTAAAGCTTCAAATGTAAAGCTTACAATACAACGACTTCAAGTGAATTTCATTGGTCAAAAAATACTAAAAAGACTATGTAATAGATAACTAAGAGTCTGCGTTTAGTAAATCATACTTTTTCGGACAACATACAATAAGATTTGTTGTTTAATTGTCTGAGTGAGATATAATGCCAAAATAAGAAAGAATAGCCTCATCCATATCAAAGTTTTTTCTGACAAGACCTATCAATTTTACCATAGGAGATATGCACTAAATTTGAAGGGAGTATTATTTACTCAAAGATAATGTTAGACCAACAAAAAATGAAACAAAAAATAGGGATTATAGATTAGTAAAATTATATTTAGATTGATAAAAAAAATGAGACTCAAATTATCAACATATCATTGTTATATTATTTGATCTCTGTTTTTATCTATTTTAAGATAATCTTGTATTATCATTTCTTTTATTAATACAATGTAATTATTGCATATCATAAGGCTGTTATGCATGAAAAATGAACAGGAGTTGTCTATAGTACCGAGAATTTTTAATTTTTTTTGGTACTATATCAACATTTATTATATTTGTTAGTGTTTTTTTCACTATTGTGATACCACTTCTCTTCGGTACTATAACAGTGATAAAAAAACACTCATAAATGTGATAAATCACCTAAAAAAATAATAAAATTTTTTGTATCAAAAAAAATAGTAAAAACACCTACAACGGTGATAAATCACTAACAAAGTATTAAACTTTTTAGTTGTAAAATAATCCAAAAAAATTGTAAAAATTTTTTTAAATATAGTAAATTTAGAAGTAGAAAAATGTTATTTGAACCTAATTTAAGGACTTAATGATGTACAACTATTGAATTGATTGTGAGTTTTATTTAATATTAAAACTTACAATTAATTCAATCGTTGCATTGAAGTCATATTATTAGATTCCCAAATTAAATCTCCAAATAAGATTCTAATATGAGACACTTTTGGGAAAGGCTGGATCAAATGACACGTGCCCTCGGCACCAATACTCCTTGCTTTAACTGGTATGTTCCTTGGCACTGATGTACATCGATGCCCTTGGCAAGTCAGATCCCCCACGGCTTCAAGGGTACCTTCACCCCGAGGCAGATGCGTGTACTCCGTTCCAAAGGATTCTACTGGAGCTCTGGTCTGCCATGTGTCTCCTATTCCTGGAAAGGCTACTGATTGACAACTGATCAGTCTCCAATAATCTAGCCATCATGAAAGTACTTTGCACAATGGTGTCAAAATGTCTAGGCAAACAAGACATTCAACCAAGGGGAGACGAACACGTTTCACACAGTGCAGAAATATGGGGTAAAAAAACAAAAGTACCCTTTTTGATATGCGGCTATCACTGGCAAATATTTAATAGATTCTCAATTGTTGAGACATTTACTATGGCTTAAGAAGCCGAGAAGTAAAAGCATTAAATACGTCTACATTGGAAAAATAGCATTAAGTGTTCGGCTGGCCAAACAATTAATACTGGAACTTTCTTCATGCAAAATAGGAGGCACACTGCCCTATCTCTGAAGGCTACTTATTGCTTAGACTACCAGTAATGATGAGTCATGAAAAATATAAATAGTTCTCAAAAACACATTACAAAGGTATGCAAAATCACCTCTCAAGAGCTATACANCTACTTATTGCCTAAACTACCAGTAATGATGAGTCATGAAAAATATAAATAGTTCTCAAAAACACATTACAAAGGTATGCAAAATCACCTCTCAAGAGCTATACAATGTTTTCTTCTGCCCCTCTTTCAAAGAATTAACTTGATCGTTAAAGAGGATACGCCAAAAAATACTCTGGCGTCCTTCTAACTTGTTTCTCTGTGTGCCAGGAACGTCTTGCAATCCATTGGAATCTGTTGGACGTCCTCTGGAACAATTCATCACTACTCCTTAGACTATTATTTGGCCTTTTCAACTCATTCTTAGTTACAGATTTGTCACATCAACGAACGAGTTCATCGAAGGTAAGATCTGTTCACGTTTCATCCATTATGCAAAAATCTTCGGGCACAAATTCCTATAACATTGCTCTTACAAGTAAGGTTATAATTTTATTTTATTTTTAGGTACCATAATCAAGTCCAAAGGAATAAGGTATGAACAGCTAGTGCACATTGTGCCGCATGGAATAAAAATGTACGACATTATGTGATTTGTGGGCCTATGGACCTTTCATAAATGGTGGACGAAAATAAAAAAGGAAGGTACAGGTTGGGATTCTCTTAGACGCAACAGAAGGACATTAAAACCGCAAGGTACAAGAATGAATTAAAAATTTATATATTTTAATTTAAAATTTAATAATTTTATTAGGGTTAGATCATAAGACATTTAACCTAAATTTTTTATGAATTTTTTAGCCTTGATATAAATGATTTGTATTTGATTAGACCAAAAAAAAATTAATCAAAAAAATATGCGTACGTTGATCCTGTCATGACTGTAATTTAAAAAAGAAAAAAGACATTAAAAGCAAAACAAGAACTTTACTGGGTGAAAAATTACTACCCAAAACTGCCAATTAACATTGATGTCTGGGCTCTCACTTTTGGTAAGTCAATCAGTCAATACTATATCTCCATCAGACCCTTATAATTCCATAACGTTTTGACATTCTTTACATCTGTAATTCTTTGCAGTATTTATATATGTGAGAATTTTGGAGATGGGTCTATAAGATCTGTGAAGTTCGATGGTTTTTAAGTTGAATGAGAGTCAGAAAGAGTTAAAAGGGTTATTGAGTACGACCAATCAAGCAATTTATCATGGATGTCGTCAGTCAGTTGCAGAAACAATTTGTTGATTACTCCACATCTCTGTATCGTGAGGTCAGTTTATTCTTCGCCAAAAAAATAAATAAATAAATCAAGATTGGGGAACATTTTCATCTGGGTTTATTTTTCTTGGATTATTTTCATTTCCCGTGGCATAGGTTTTATGTCTTTAAGGTTGTTTTAATGATTGGTTTCTGTTATGGTGTGAAAAAAGGGGTTCTTGGATGATCAGTTTGTACAGCTTCAGAAACTGCAAGATGAGAGTAACCCAGATTTTGTGGTTGAGGTGGTGTCTCTTTTCTTTGAGGATTCTGAGAAACTTATTAACAATCTGGCCAGCGCTCTGTGAGAATTCTCTTTTTCTATTCATTGTTCTTGGGTTAATTATATTTCTTGATTTCATATAGGTAAGGTTGAATTTGAGATTTAGTTTTATTTGGTTATTTTCAATCTTACAGACAACAGCAGATTGTAGATTATAAGCAGGTTGATGCCCATGTCCACCAGTTCAAGGGTAGTAGTTCAAGGTGTCACCCTCTTTCTTCGACTTATCGCTTCAACTATTTTTCCCTTTTGCTAAGTTAGCTACGTGATTGCTTTTATGTATTGAGATATTCAGGACAAATGAGTAACTTCAATTTAAACCCATAATTATGAGTCGTTCTGTCAAGAAATGAGAAACTTGATATCATATGTAGTTTAAAAAATTATATTGGAAGGTTTAGTCAAAATTCATTATTTTGTAGTTTTGTTAATTCTATGTTAGAAATTATGTGCAGCATAGGTGCACAGAGAGTGAAGAATGCATGTGTTGCCTTTAGAGCTCATTGTGATGGGAGAAACCTTGAAGGGTGAGTTTGCTTCAAACTGGTATCATATATCTATGTACTTTTTCTGTCAGCATGTGTAAATCGTAGAGATATTGTGCAAAATTAGTGACAAAAAATTGTTTGCTCACGAAATGCATTGACTGATTTATTAGTGAAATGACTTTGTTTTGGTATATAATTTGGACCACTGTCATGACAGTCATGCAAGAAATCCTAAAAAATCTTAACTGATATGTTCTCGCACAAGGCATAATGTTTCGTNCTAATGCTTAATTTTTTTTTATTGTAAGCAGTATAAATATATCAACAAATTTAATTTGACACTCATTTATATATAATTGTATTATTTATTGGAATAAAATTAAAAAACTAAATAAGGTGTCAAATTGTAATGAAGACACTATCTTTTATCTTTAATTAGAATAATTTGATCGTTTAATAAATTTTGTTAGTTCCGTAACTACTAAGTGGTCCAAGTGTTATATGTCTACAAATTTTAAGGGATATGTGTAATTTAATAATAGATAAGCATTGACGCTAAATTTTACGTGCGTACATATTTTAGAGAATTTGTGTGGAATACACACACTAACACTAACTCACATTTTGGGCCGGGGTCTAAATATCACGTGTGTACAAATTTTAAAAAATTAATATATAATATTTCAAATATCACGAGATTTACGAACTTAAGGGTATAATGCATTCATAAATTAAAGGAAATTATACGCACTGACTTTCATTCTGGGTGCAGAAGGAAGGAAGGAAGTAAGCAAGCAATCAATCCAAAACTTATGAACAAATCAGTGGGTGTTTGGGTTGTTGGGTTGGTGCAATAAGCACGCATCTCGATGTAATTGATGAGGGTAGAGCAGACTAGGAGGGATAGGGAGTGTACCACTGTGTCTATGAAAGACATACCCAGAAATTATTTTTCAATCATACGTTTTTCTTTGAATTATTAATGAAAAATTGATTATAAAAATAATAAAACAATAATGTAAAAAGATTTTATGTGCATCATGTTACGAATTAGATAAAATTAGTGGTATGATACTGAAAATTATCATTTTGTATCATCAGATTTTTGTAGGTGCTACTGCCTTCCTGTCTGCTCGTGGTTATTGTTGTGAATTTAATGACAGTAGGTACAGGATAACGAGGATGACAGCAACTTGTTTTTTTTGTTTTTTTTTTTTATATATGTATATATTTTTTTGCTTGTGATGAAAGCAACTTGTTGCTCCTTGAATATCAACTCCAACCCCAAAGCTTTGCAAAATTCACAGAATTGCATGGTTCGACATATTTTCAAAGGGGTACATGTTAAATTTTGTTCTTAAATCCTCGTGTTTAATCGGATTTGGATCAACTTGTTCATTTGAAGAATTTAATTTATTCACTTGTTTATTACTCCAACTTGTTAAATTTAAGGGTAAAATAGGAGTTTGCACTCCAAAAGATAAAAAAAAAATTTAATTTGTACCTTTCAAAGATCAATTGTTTCAAATTTCACCCTCAATTAAATTAATTAGTAATAATGTGATCCCAACTATAACATTTGTTGTGATTTTCATCAAATTGTCAACTACGTTAGATGCACGTGATGACTTTTATCAGATTATAGCGCTTCTCCTTTTTCACGTGTCTTACGTACTTATCAATCCAATAAAAATCATCATTGACGTAATGTTTAGGATTTCTATTTTCGTCAAATTGACAGTCACGTCAAATGCAGGTGATAATTTTTATTAAATTATAACCCTTCCCCTTTTCATGAAAATCGTAATGGATGTTATAATTGGGGTCACATTGTTATCAATTAAAATAATTGAGGGTAAAATTTGAAATAATTAATCTTTGAGAGTACAAATTGAGAATTTTTTAATCTTTTGAGGAACAAACTGCCATTTGCCCTAAATTTAAACTTAAACCTTTATCAGTTTTGTTTGGGATCCATATTTTAAGTGGCCCTCCTAAGAGCTTAATGAAAATAGCCCAAATGTAAAGTGGGCCACCGGACTGGCTGAACTTGGACTCAAGACTTGGCTGTTAAAAGTCTGTTCACTAAAGTATGAATGGTGGAAGCCGCAGAGACTGGAGAGAATCACAGACAGTTCACTCCACAAAAGGACAATACAACAAGAATGTGTATGTGATCGGACCACTGCCTATCAAAAACCGCTTTTCTCCTTTTTTTTTTTTTTTTCCAACACTTAGGGATGTTGGATCTAATTTACGTGTATATCGATTAATCTTTTCTTCGATTTAGTCAAAAACAGATAATTTATATTAGAATTAGGTTATTATTATTCACTAGAGGTAAATCTTTCACAATCTAAATGTAATGAGTTGTCAAAATTCAAACATATGACGTCTAAATGTACAAGTCGTCCCTATTAGCATTTGAAATACCATTTGAAGTTAAAACCGCTTCTCTCCGACTCTTTCTCTCTTTTTCTCCTTCTCGTAGGGTTAACCCACGAATTTAAGATCCGATGGTTAACTTCCAATTGCATTTCTCACTTACATCTTTAAACTCTAGGTTGACTGCTTACACGGCAGTTAGAAAATTAATGAGACATACTAATCTAATATATTTTAAAAAATTCTAATATTTTTTTTCTTTTTTTCTCTTTTTAATAGGTTATTTATCGTCGACAGAATGACCTCACTTTAGTTTTCTAAATATTTTAATCACAAAAGTTAGTTCCTATGTGCAGTTCTTCACGTCGTAGTCTACCCTTCAACACCAAAAGTACAACAAGAAGAAAATAATTTATAAAAACCTCTTTTAACTTTAGAATGAGTTTTAATTCATTATTAACTTTCGATTTTCTCTAATAGTCCCTATGTACAATTCCCAAACTAGGACAAATGACAAAAAAAAAAAAACAGAAATTTAGAGGCAAGTGTTGTGGAATTTTTATTTGTTTCTTAACGGGAAATTGGATGGAATAATTAAGGATTGAGAAGACATTATAAAAACTCAGGTCTCNAGGAAATTGGATGAAATAATTAAGGATTGAGAAGACATTATAAAAACCTAGGTCTCGTTCGGATGACAGTAATTCTAATGGGAAATGAATATCTCATTCATAGCAAAATGATATTTGAGCGTCATATATCGTAGTAATCTTTTATTTAATGTTTGCTATTGTCAGCAATATTTACTGTAAGAATGTATATCTATTTTATTAATATTTTTNGGGAAATTGGATGGAATAATTAAGGATTGAGAAGACATTATAAAAACTCAGGTCTCGTTCGGATGACAGTAATTCTAATGGGGAATGAATATCTCATTCATAGCAAAATGATATTTGAGCGTCATATATCGTAGTAATATTTTATTTAATGTGTTGCTATTGTCAGCAATATTTACTGTAAGAATGTATATCTATTTTATTAATATTTTTAGTAGTGAATTTTATTTTAGGAAAGAACAAGATTTTAGGAAGATAGTCTGGCTTATCAACAAATTAAAATTGAGATGGACTTTGAATTAATTTTTTTTTCCTTTTTTATAATACTCAATTAAGTTAGGTATAAAATTACCACCATTGATAATTGGTTTGGTTTAAGATTCCAATTATCATTGGGAATTTAATTTCAATAGTAATTTTATTCCCGATATAAATTACCGACTTNTTTTTTTTTTCCTTTTTTATAATACCCAATTAAGTTAGGTATAAAATTACCACCATTGATAATTGGTTTGGTTTAAGATTCCAACTATCATTGGGAATTTAATTTCAATAGTAATTTTATTCCCGATATAAATTACCGACTTATTAACCACCTAAATATGATAATTCATGAAATAAGGAATGAGATTATCATTCTCAATTAAGATTATCGTTATGTAAACTGAGCCTAAGGGTCTATTTGTAGCAAGAAAATGGTAGAGAATGTAAGAAAGTGAGATTTTTTATATTTTTTATGTATTTGGTTAGCATTAAATGAAAAATGATGGAATTTTTTTTACTTACATGTTTAGATTTTTTCACAATTAACCAAATTTTTTTTCTTGCAAAAAACACTAGAGAAAACAATAAAATTGTGATCGAGAACCTAACTTTTTATTTTAACCTTATTTTTTAACCTAGTTAAAGATAAGTTAGATAATTAGAAAAATTTTACAGTAACTTTTATTTCTTTAAAACAATTGAATGAAAAATTTTAAAAATTTTATTGGAACTTTTTCATACTAACCAAATATATCTATACTACTAATAAAAGTATTTTACATGAAAAAAAATTGATTCACTATTTTACCCTCATAAAGACCTATAAAGGCTAACATGTCCTATATTTAAATGTGTAGATTATCATTATATCTTTCTATACTTAAATAATAAATTAACATATAGAGTATCATGTAAATTTCGATCTTTACAAAATTTTTAGACGATCATGTTACTTTTAATAGGATATATAAAAAAATTATTTTTTTTTCTAAAACCTCAATATTAATACATATTAACAACTTCATTTATATAATATTATCTGTGGTGCCAAAAAAATCAATATATGTATCTTTTTCTCTTAATCTACAATACAAACAATTAAGTATAATAAAAATAAGATAGCATCTAATTTAGTTATATAATTAAATTGTGAGTTAATAACATTTTTAATATTTAAAGTATACATTTTTTGTCAGTTTAGTCCTCATTGTATCAACTTTATCAATTTGATCTCTAAAGTAATCAATCCGTATCACTTTTGTCCCTAATTAGATAATTCGTTAAGTTTTTTTTATGAAAAGTGACCACGTGTAATTTTTTTAGACGGTATCAAATGTCCAACACGTGATCAGTCCATTAAAAACTTAATAGTCCGTCTATATAGGAATCAAAATGACATGAATTGAATATTTTAAGGACCAAATTGATAAAATTGATATAATGAGAATTAAACTGACAAAAAATACATATTTTACAGAACAAGAGTGTTATTAACCCTTAGATTTTTATATATTTATCAAATAGTTTAATGAAAACTTTCACGTGCAACGCACGTGGTGCAATGCTAGTACATGAATATATATATATATTTTTAATTTTCTATCACTTTTACTTTTTGTCATCGTTTTCTTATTAAACAAACGGATATTTCAGGTGATATCTAGGATATTTATTTACTTTGATAAATATCATGAAAACACAAGGTTGATTACATATTTAATTTTGATACAATTGGTTTCATGAGGTTGCCCTCTTATCAAGGCCAGCAAGCTAAAGGCCAAATGGTCCTCCCAAATCTGCTGAGCTGTCACACGAACCTTACCTGTTTTGCCTTCCCGATCAAGTTCCCAGAATCCAAGCAAAACTAGTTAAATTCAGGGTTAATTACACTTTTTCCCTTTAAATTATGATTTTCATTTTATTTTTACCTCTTAAACTATTTAATTTATCATGTTTATCTATTAACTACTTAATTTTATTTTAGACTCCCCAAAATTCAAACGATTGTCATTTTTTGGACTAAAAATGTCAACTTATTGAGATAAAGTTAAACAAGTTTGGTCAAATTTTTTGTGAACATTATTCATTGGGGCAATGCGACATTATTAATAGTTAACTCTAAGGGTAACTCAAGTGGTTATAAAAATAAATTGTAAATTTAAATGTCTTAAAGTTCAATTTTAACAACGGTTTTTGGTCGGACGATGAAAAATTTATTTCTCATGAATTTCTTAATTTCGAGGTGGATGATATGTCTTTGACTAGATTAAATAAGGGATTAGTCGAGGTGCACATAAACTGACTTGAACATTCTTGACCATTAAACTAAAAAAATATGGGACATNATTTTTGGTCGGACAATGAAAAATTTATTTCTCATGAATTTCTTAATTTCGAGGTGGATGATATGTCTTTGACTAGATTAAATAAGGGATTAGTCGAAGTGCACATAAACTGACTTGAACATTCTTGACCATTAAACTAAAAAAATATGGGACATTAATAGTCATGGTTGAAAGTGCAAATATGATAATGAAAGAGATAAGATAACACGTAATTTGAGGGATCAAAATGTAATTAACCCCAACATTCACAGCAAGAAATCAAAAGTGAAGGCAATAGAAAAGGAGATCAGGTGGCAGAGACAGTAGGAGCCAGTGGCAGTAGTCATGGCACTCTTCTCTGAGAAGCCACCTACCCACACACAAGTCAAGCGCAGTAGTATAGAAGAAGAAGAATACAAGAAGTAGAAGGAGGTCAAAGGGTTTGGTTTTACTTTTCTCCCAAGCTAATACATCTACCATCTGTCTCCTGAATTCTTTCCAACTTTGATGCTGTCTCCATTAAAGCTTTCACGTCCCCATTTCCCACGAGAAATCTGTAGTTCCCCATTTTCCTCTCACGGAAAAGTATACCCCCAGAAAGCTCAATCTCTACCCCCCTATAAAAACCCATTCTGCAATACTTCTCTGTTTGTGTTCTATGATCTCTTCTCTGCAATACTTCTCTGTTCCAATGCTGAGTTATAGCCAGAGAAAGATGAAGATATTACTCATATGTACGACTCATCTGTTTATATTTCTTCAGTTTACTGTCATAACGCATGCAATGTTGGACCCTATGGATTTCTTGGCTTTGCAATCCATTCGAAAAGCCTTCAATGACATGCCCGGTTCCAATTACTTCTCCTCTTGGGATTTCACTTCCGACCCTTGCAACTTCGCCGGCGTATATTGTGATGGTGACAAAGTGATCGCTTTGAATCTTGGTGATCCGAGGGCCGGTTCGCCTGGCCTTACCGGCCGGCTTGATCCTGCCATTGGAAAACTCTCCGGTCTCGCAGAGTTCACCGTCGTCCCCGGTCGGATCATGGGTTCACTGCCTCATACTCTGTCTCAGTTGAAGAACCTCCGGTTCCTCGGCCTCAGCCGTAACTTCATCTCCGGCAATATCCCGGCGACTCTAGGTCAACTTCGTGGACTGCGAACACTCGATCTCAGCTACAACCTGCTCACCGGAAGTATTCCTTGGTCTGTCGGAGCTCTACCGGCGTTGTCTAACGTCATTCTATGTCACAATCATCTCTCCGGTTCGGTCCCTCCTTTTAAATCCCAAACCCTAACTCGGCTTGACCTCAAGCACAACGATCTCTCTGGTTCTCTCTCACCGACTTCACTTCCACCCTCTCTCCAATACCTCTCATTGTCCTGGAACCAATTAACCGGTCCAGTGGACCGGCTTTTATCCAAACTAAACCGGTTGAGCTATCTAGACCTGAGCATGAACCGGTTCACTGGGACCATTCCCGGCAACATATTTACATTCGCAATGACAAACCTTCAATTACAGAGAAACTCTTTTTCCGGACCGGTTCAACCCGTTGATCGGGTCACAATCCCCACCGTTGATCTTAGTTATAACCGTTTGTCTGGTGAAATATCTGCGATGTTCGCGACCGTACAGAATCTTTACTTAAACAATAACCGGTTCAGCGGTCAGGTTCCGGGTAGTTTTGTGGACCGGCTGTTATCAGCGAGTATACAGATATTGTACCTACAGCACAACTATTTGACTGGGATCGTGATCAATCCGACGGCTGAGATTCCACTGAGAAGTTCGTTGTGTTTGCAGTATAATTGTATGGTCCCACCAATACAGACCCCTTGTCCCTTGAAGGCTGGGAAGCAGAAGAGCAGGCCTACTAAGCAGTGCGTTGAATGGAAGGGGTAAAATAAGGAATTCGAGTTTGCACCGAGGGCATAACGGGAAGAATGGATATGTTAGATTCCTTAATCATCATATTTTTGTGGAGAAATTAGATTGATTTATTATCTTTATTAATATGTTGGGAATTAATAAAATTGAATCGTAGATATTGACTGCATTTTTTCATATATTTTTTTTAATGATAAATTACTAATCATTTATTATTTAGAAAACCCATAAATATTTTNCCATATGTTTTTTTTTAATGATAAATTACTAATCATTTATTATTTAGAAAACCCATAAATATTTTATAGGTTTAATTAAAATTCATTATAAGTATTTTAATATCCGATAAAATAGAATGAAAGTATAAACCGTAATCTCCCGTTCACAAAACTCAGTTATTACGAAGTCTATGCATAATCAAATGATTATCGTTTTGCTTCTATGACTCAAACCCATGACAATTAAATTATAATAGAATAAGGAAAATGCAGAGGATCCGATTTTTGAGTGGAATGAAATGAGTTACAGTATTTTGCAAAGGCACATGGCTGGGGATTGTAGGGTGGTTGATGGAGCTGAATTGAAATGAATGTGTAGTAGTTAGAGAGTAGCTGTCACTCCGTTAAGCAAAAACAAACGAATATATGCTGGTTTGCCATGGCCTTTCATGTTTGGATGGTTTTGAAATGGGGGATCGGATTAATGTTAATGAATTCGTTAAAATTTTTTTTTTTTTTTTTTTGTACATGAAATTCATACATAAATTTTACCTAAGTTTTTATTTGATAACTAACATTAGCTCGATTAACACCCCTGAGTCAGCTCCATTGGAGTGCCCGTTTTAACTTCCATGGTACGCACTAGTATGAATAATGGGGATTTTGAAAGCATTAAACTTAGTTCTCTCTTTTAACCGGAACCTTGGCGGCTTTAATTGATTGATTGTTTGGACACCTGAAAGAATGGTAATAACCATAGAAAATTTATATTATTTAGCTGAACAAACTCTGACTGAACATATATTATCTATAGGGGTGTAATTCGGACGGGTTAAACATTCAATTCCAGGTATATAATCTTTAACCCTAATTTTAACTCTAATCCTAACCCTATCTCGGGTTGGGAAACTCAACCCGAGCACTGTCCGAGTTTAATTCGGGCGGGGTCAGGTTGAATTCGGGTTAATGATTTCAGGCTAATTTTGGGTTACTTTACGGGTTCAATTCGAGTAGAGTCCAAAATAGGTTTGTTGTTTTAAACCTAATACATATATTACATAATATTCACCTAAATTAACAACCAATAACTTTAACCAAGTTTTTAACGAGAGAGGTAAAGANGTTCAATTCGAGTAGAGTCCAAAATAGGTTTGTTGTTTTAAACCTAATATATATATTACATAATATTCACCTAAATTAACAACCAATAACTTTAACCAAGTTTTTAACGAGAGAGGTAAAGAGAATAAGAGAGACAAAGAACGATAGCATAAAAATAAAAAATCAGTGCTAGTACTTTATATATATAATTTTTTTTTAATTTGTGGTTTCGGATTGAACTCAGGTTCATTAGGCCTTAACCCAAGTCCAACCCAAATTAAATTCGGGTTAGAATTTTTTGACCCAAATCCAATCCAAGTATTAAAAACTCTTGTCAAAATTCTAATTTTTTCAGATTGAAATCGAGTTACCCAACCCAAGTTGCACCCCTAATTATCTATACCCTATCTCCCTTATAGCTCAACAAACATCACACACATCCATTGGGGTAAGTGGTGGCCTCGTAGGATCACGACTCACCTCCTTAATCTTGTATGAATATGCAAGACTGTTGGCGAAGAAGGAAATAAAGAGTAAGAATGAAACAAAATAAGAGGTTGTTAGCTCGAGTTTCCTATGAGCTTACCAATTATCCTAAATAGAATAGGAATCCTATGAATAGTTCAAGTGGTAAAAGAGATGAATTGTAAATTTCGACGTTTTGAGTTTAAAATTTACAATCTTTTGAGTCTAGGTCATGAGGGATTCATCTTTTTATGAATATTTTAGTGATGATATAGATGGTCTGTCTTTGACTGAATTGAGGAGGAAATTAGTTAAGGTACACGTAAATTGATCTAAACACTCCTAACTGTTAAATAATAATAATAATAATAATAAAAAGAGATAATAAAATAGAGCCTTCCCTACACTTTTACATTACTAAAGGAATTTTTTTTTTTTTAATATCAAGAAAAAGAGAGCTGTGACCAATATGTAGTAACCTCCTTGGAAGTCATTATAGAATATCCAGTTTGAGTCATAATTTCTAACCCGTAAAGGCGACTCGTCACCACATCAACACCAAAGTCAAGTAGAAAATCGCATTGCTCCCATAAATCGAACCCTATTTAATAACCATATGGAAATTAAAGACGATCTTAAATTGGTTAATGCTTACCACTAGCAACAAATTTCACCTATTTTGATTATTGTTATGTATCGATTTTGAACTTAGTGAATGAAATTAATATGTGATACATGTACTCGCAAAAAAGGTCCTGTTAAGGTCAGGATCTGGATAAAGACTACCAGTCCATTTTTATTTTGGTTCTGTCCAGGCCTTTTTCAGCCCAAACCCTATTCACTGTCCAAAATCACCTATATGGGCCAATTCTTGGGCATACTGGCCCATGGACTACCGTCGATGGAAGTGAAGATGAAGCCCAAACCGGTGACGAATAGAGTTGCGACAATCCCGAACAGAATTCAAATTACGATTGTAGCGATTAACACCGTGTCCAAACAGCCGGCCGGAAAAGCTCTCGTCAATTCCACTGCAGCCAAGCTCAATGGCCTCTATAGTTCTCCGTTTCTCTCTCTCTCTCCTGTCTCTCCCTGTGAACTCCTGCAATCTCTCTCTTCTAATATTCATCAACTTGATGCGATAAACCCTTCCAATGTATGGAAAAGCACTTAGTAGTTGACAACAACGATCAAGCGAGTGTGGAAAATTTCAGACGCAGCTCAAGCAGAGGTAATCCCTGCAAAACCCAAAACCCTAATTACCCCATTGCTTACCAATCTGACAAGAGCCACAACCCAATCATTCGTAAGAGAACTTGTCACCGAAACACGCCCTTGCCAGTCGGCGTTGCCAAAAATCATCGAGTTGTTCGCGGATAAATTGAGCTATGTGGACACAAGGGCCATGGAAGATCTTAGAAATAAGGTGTCGGTATTGAAGGACGAAGTGTTGAGAAACTGTGAAGAAAGTCACAAGATTGAAAGAGTATTGGAAGAGAAGGGGGTTTCTTTATTCCGGAGTTATTCTGATGGATCTGCTTCGATTGAGCTCTTGAAGCAATTGGATTCTTGGCCGCACTTAGCCCTTGAGGTCTTCTTCTTGATTTATATTTTCTCTGTTTCTTGCAAACGCACTCGCTCGAGCACACGTACTGATGTGCAAATACTCTGTGTAGCATTGAATTTGAGTAGTTGTTGTTTTTTAGTAGAATTTTGAGATTTAATAAGTAAATCAGGTGTCTCCCAAATTTAGTCGAGAAATTGTGAGTTCGACTTGTGCATGTGTTGAGATTGATTTTTGGTGCGAAGTTACCAAGTGTACCATAAAAATGTGTCATTTTTACTTAAGAATTGTTTGATAAACAGGTACTTTGGGACTTTGATTGATGAATACAGATTTTAGGATAACAATGATATTTACATTATATGCTACTCGATATGAGTACCCTAATGCTGGGAAGATACAGTGGACAGTGATCTTTGATTCATAGTCATGATAAACTGATAGAGGAGAGGAATATTTGAAATACTGTATTTTGAAGTTTGTCATTTGCTTTGATTTCCCTCAGGTTTTCAATTGGAGAAGGAAGCAAGAAGACTATAACATTCCTATGACAACAGAGGAGTATGCCAAGGGAATAATGGTGGCTGGTAAACTGAAGAATGTTGATCTGGCGGGTGAGCTTTTCACAGAAGCTGCCAACAAGCGACTTAAGAAAACCTCCACTTATAATGCACTCATGGGTGCTTATATGTTTAACGGTTTTGCCTGGAAGTGTCAATTGTTGTTTCGAGACTTAAAGAGGGAAGTATGCTGTAGTCCTACAATTGTAACATATAATATTCTCATTTCTGTCTTTGGTCACTTGATGCTGGTTGACCACATGGAGGCAACATTTTCAGAGGTAAAAGATTTGAATATCTTCCCTAATGTGACTACATATAATAATTTAATTGCTGGATATGTTACAGCATGGATGTGGGATAATGTGGAGAAGACTTATAGGATCATGAAGGCAGGTCCCGTGAAGCCTGATCTTACCACCCACTTGCTAATGCTACGAGGGTATGCACATTCTGGTAATTTGGAAAAGATGGAAGAGATTTATGAGCTGGTGAAAAATCACGTCAATTGTTGGTCAGAGCTATGATATACGCATACTGCCGGAGTTCTGACATGAATAGAGTTAAAAGAATAGAAGCATTACTGAGCCTCATTCCAAAAAATGAGTATAGGTCATGGTTGAATGTGCTATTGATTAGGGTTTATGCCCAAGAGGGTTTGATAGAGAGGATGGAAAATTTAGTAAATGAGGCGTTTGATCATAACACCTCTGTCACATCAGTGGGTGTAATGCGTTCTATTATCACAAGTTATTTCCAAATTAATGCAGTGGACAGGCTTTCAGAATCTGCCGGTCCCTGTACCACTGTAAGATGGTCATGTATGGGTCACAAAATCGCCTTGCCGAAATGGAGAAGGTCCTTGAGGAGATGGAGAATTCTCATATACATCCCTCGAAAAAAACATTTGTGATATTATGTAAGGTGTATTTAGGGTGGGGTCATAGATATGAACTCGAACAGGTGTTAGGGTTGATGTGCAAACAAGGGTATGGAATTCTTCTGGATGGATTCCCTTCGTAGTGAACCCTTGCATTGGACAGCATATGTGTGCTGAAAAAGGTGTGGGACTTGCTATGGATATGTTTTCTTAATGGTACATTGCACCCAACCCATCCATTCAACAGCATTGCACTGAGAAGGCCAAAGGAGCATGCAGCTAATAACTGCCAATGGTTCACTGCATCTATCAGACATCTTGTATGTTTTATCTATTTCATTGGTAAACTAGCTGTCTTACTGTTCTTTGCTAATTGATATTTATCTTTGATTAAAATATTTTTGCTCTAAATATAATATTTTAAATTTAAGGGGTCTAAGTAATATATGTATACAAACTTCAGGGGGTTTGAGTGTAATTTATAAACGGTTATATTTACAACAGGGGTCTAAGTGTTACATGCGTACACACTTCAGGGGGTTTATGTGTAATATTTTAAATGTTAGGGGGCCTGAGTGATTAAATGACAAACTTTAGGAGGCCTTGGTGTAATTCTCCCAAATATTTATGTATTATTTCTTGCAATCGCAGAAGAGACATTTAGGAAGCATCCTTCTTTCTCAATTCAGCATGTGCATTTCATGAACAATAGGATACATTGATTGTTTAAACTGTAGTTATTTATCCTTATTTAACTTTGAGACAGTGACCTGTAAATGCCTTTTGGCCACTGTGGTAATATTTCCTATGATTTGCGGCAAGAAATGCTGCATCATATAGAAACCTTCCAATATTATGTGCATTTTGTGATTGTCAAATTTGTTTTTCATGCAAGTAAAGTTTGCAAGTTTCTCGATTGCATATTTGGAACATTTGTTTCATGTAGAGAGGGAAAATTTAACTTTGTAAGGTTTGCTTGTATAAGTTCTCGGAATGGGAGTCCATATGCCATATGTTGACATTGGGAACCATGTCAGCAGAAGAAAAGATGGGTCCCACCATTCCATAGACCCTATTGTGTTCCAAAAATAGTTTGTATATAGGGATTTGACCCACTTGACTACAGCTGTTATCTACAAGATGAGAGTACTCAAATTTGATGGTTGACATTGTTTTAGGCAGATGAATTTGTTATACTGCTCAAGTAGGTGTTACTCGTTTATTGGAGATCTCTATCCATGTTGGCCCCTTCCATATATGCATAGTAGGTTTCATTCTCTTAAAATGTACCATACAGTACTTATGATATCCATGATGATAGAGGATACACATTCTCAGGTGTATTTCCATGTTTAAAGATAGAAATTTCGAATAGTTGATAGAAGCAATAAATGATTGTTGCAATACATATATATTAGGACAACTTTAATTTTGTTGTAAACACACAAGCCCATGCATTGTGTAATGGTTGTGTCATATGCTATGCTTTAAAGACTTTATTGTATCAGGTTGTGTGGGTATCTATCATCTCTGTCTTTATCTTTTTGTGCATGCTTAATAGGTAGCATGGATTTAATAACGGTTATAATCTTGTCCTCTAACATATTTATCATTCATTCGCAACCCTAGGTTCATTATTCTTGGTTTAAATCGTTTTCCTCTTTCTCTGTTTCTCTCTATCTCGTGTGTGTGTGTGTGTGTGACTATTTCACTTGACACATCATAAGGTTAGTAAATTAAGTTAGTTTTTAAGGTCCCAATAGCATTACTCGTATATGTATGTATGTAATTATATTTTTGAATAATTGATGATAATTTTGCATTCTAACTAATATAACCCTTTATTGGCAAATCTTGTGGTTTAAAATTTTGAGTCGCAGATTTTAATTACTGAGGAAATCCCAAGTTTTTAATTTTTTGTTTAACTCCTCATCTTCTACTTCCTCTTCTTCTCTCTCTCTCTCTCTCTCTCTCTCTCGCGCGCGCGCGCGCTTATACGCTTTGATTCTTAGTTTCTCATTATGCTTGCCTATGTACCAAACTAGACCAAACAACATAGACAATCTTAATATACCTCAATCTTGACTATGAAAACCCTAATTTCGAATGATAATGCTCACACATAAAGGCCAACTTGAAAAGTGAAAGATAATTAGAAGCAAGTGTTGACTCAATTAGGTAAAAAAATGACTAAAATTTGTTTGCTTTATAGAAAGATAGCTCGGGATATGGAAAGATGGTTTCAACTTTGTTTCTTTGTTAGATGAATTAAAGTTTATGAGACCATTTTCGTAGATTGGGGAATCCAAGTTTTTCTGGATCATGGGTTAATTTAGTACGTACTATAGGTGAGGGTGTGCGGTATGATAGTTTGCTCAATATGCGACGTGATGGAGGTAGACTTCGTAGGCTATTTTTGGTTCCAATTCATTTTTTGAACTCCTATTCAGCTTTTCTTCTATTATATGATCCTATATATCATCATACATACACATATAGTCAATTAATATTTAATTCATATACGCATTTAAAGTGTTTCAAAGGGAACTGTAAATCAAAAACAACGTATGGGATAATGTTTGTGAATTGTGAAAGTTCATCGTTTCATATTTGCGACAAATTCAAATGATAACAAATTAAAATATAAGTTTAAAGATTGCAAAAATAAAGAAAGTACCAGTTATGTTGTAGTTGGAAATTTGTAGTTGGAAATTTGGATTATAATTTGAGATTACTTGGATCATGAGTCAATTTGTGGTTGCCGTTACAATTCGTGACTGGGAATTTGTGCGATCTAGATCACGAATCCACTTGTGTGTGGGATTCGTGGGAATGAGGACTTGCAATGCTGGCATCCTTGGGAAGAACTTTGTCATACTTTGGCTATTATGTCTAGGATGTTTGAGTTCACTACTTTTCATNCGAATCCACTTGTGTGACATGGGATTCGTGGGAATGAGGACTTGCAATGCTGGCATCCTTGGGAAGAACTTTGTCATACTTTGGCTATTATGTCTAGGATGTTTGAGTTCACTACTTTTCATACTAAAATAGTCATTTCCATTGCTAGCATGTACTGTATTTAGACAGTCAGATAAAGATATATGGAGATAGAGTGTCTGCATCTGAGTAAATTAGGAGTTGTGGAACATGCAGCTTATAAAGTAGTTACTTCTTTTAACACTAGACCTATGAATGCTTAGTGTCCTGAAAACTTTTTGTTTGTCAGGTGATATAAGTCCATCCGTTGGGATCCTGTGTAGGTATGACATTTTCAAATGTTCTTGTTATCCTTTATTGCAATCCTGATAACCTGCCCTCCCTCCTGTCTTCCCTGGCTGACAGTTTCTCGGTATTCCTTACAAAACCTCAGGAATTTATGTGAAGAGTTTTGTACTGGAATGTTTTGACAATGTTGAAGTATTTTGTGCCATGGTCTTTGACTGTAGTATAGATTTAGTTATAACTTCACTACATTATCGTGTTTGTTGTGAACTTGTGATTGGCATGTATGATTGATTGTCAACTTTATTGTGATGCAGGAATGGTTTCAGATTTTGTGATGAACCACATCTAACGATATGCTGAATGCTGGTGGAAAAATAAAATTCACGAAGGCCATGAAGGTGTTGTGTTCTATCGGGGCGGAATTCTTCACTGCCTGTGTGCTGACTAGAATGCTTGAATAGAAATATGTAAGTAGTAACTTGCTGTCTGTTGTATGGAAGATCATTTCTGAGACGACCAGATCGAGTTATGCCAATCCAATTCAAAAGTAGTAGTATTATTGACGGGAAACTCGCATATTGCTTTGTAGATTCCTTTTTCTAGAATTAAAGCCATTGATTCTCTCCCTTGAGCTGCTCAATAAATGATGCAAGCCATCAAGTGTATCTAGTGGGGTATTCTAGTAGGTCTGCATACCTCCTTGCTAGCAGGTCGTGAAAGTGAATTATAGAAATTGTAACGTCTGTATATACGGTGGGACAAGGCTTTGTTGAGTTGTAATGTCTATATGCACAACCAGGAGAGATCCTTTTGGGGGGTT